GTGTGTGCGCACTTTGGATGGGATAAATGCAGAGCACTAATTCTGAGTATGGGTCACCATACTTGGCCACATGTCACATCACGTCATAATGGATGCATTGTCTCTTAAAGTGACTGCGCCTAATTTACTAGCTGCTGTAATGTTAATCCAATAAAATTAAAGAAAGAAAATCACTCGCTGCTCTTGACTGTAGTTTTAACAAGAATTAATCCACAGTCAAATAAAAAAATATTCAGACACCAAATATAATTTTTGATATTTTTTTACTAGTGGGTGCAGGACACTACAGTTCATTTATGTAAGTGAGTATAGCAAAATAAAGCAAACTGTGACATATTATACCCAAAATATTCTTAATACAATGTACTACCAGTAAAATTTATAAAATAATTGTTCAGACACTTTGACCTGCCCATGTTTTGCTTAAGTGTTTTTTCTTTAATTGCTAATGCGACCTTTTTACACCACAGACTGTACAACATTAAGCATTGCTTGGTAATTGGACAACAAAGTATTGATAGTTGTGTAAATATTGTCATACATAAAGTGGCATTTTGACAATGTATCAGCATAATATAACACATTTGTAATTTGTATTCGTGTAGAATCAAATGTATTGACTTTTGTTTAGAAGAAGAAAAAAAGTCTTTTGAATGGGCTTCGTCTGAACTCACTCTGAAATGGAACAAATGTTATGCTTTTCACAGCAAGCCAGTCTGCCAGGAAATACACATCCACATATTAGAAAAGTGTCACATCCATGAAACTTACTCCACTTAAACGCATCAGTCCTATATATACTCTCAAAATTAAGATCTCTGATTCCAGAAATCAAAATGCCATGCTAATCCATCTATTTATTTATTTATATATATAAAGCAGCTTTTAGCAATCTGTATTGTAGAAAGCGCTGTAGAAAGCAAACGTGACTCTACTTACGATTCTGCTTGAACAAAGTTTCCGTGTACAGTCTGCACTGGTTTGTTCCTTTGTTTAAAGGTTTGAGTTCTCTTAAGATATAAAGACCTCCTCAGCAGCTCATGTTTCTGTCAATCCGTTTTTGTTTTTTTTTTGGTATTCAGTGTAAATGTATTTATTTAATATGATAGTACAAAGGGGAGGAGATCTTGTACAGTAGTTCGTAGAATGGCAGTTCATTGATAACAAATAGGTTGAAATGGATATGTTGAATATTTGTAACATTGTCTTTAAAGGGAAAGTTAAAAGCAGCGCTTTGTCATTTAAGAAAACCATTTGGCCATTGTAGATTAGAAGCTGTTAGTGCGGGGCCCTGGACTAAAGCAGCTTTGAACCCCAACAATGCCAATATTACCCCAGCAAATCTAAAATGAACCATGGTTTTATTTTAGTAAAAGTGTAGTAACCATGTTTTTTTATTTTATTTTTTTTATAATTTGTATAACCACAGTTGAACAAATATCATGGTTAAACTATACTCTTAAAAATAAAGGTGCTTAAAAGGTTCTTCACAGCGATGCCATAGAAGAACCATTTTTGGTTCTGCGAAGAACCATTCAGTCAAAGGTTCTTTAAAGAACCATCTCTTTCTTACCTTTTTAGAATCTGAAGAACCTTCTTTCGTAAATGATTAAATTAAAAGTAGCTATTGCCTTGCCCGCTCACAAACATACACTAAATTTAGCTAGATTCCTTTTTTCAAATAAAGTGGCTGAATAATTTAAATGAATAGCGCTGCATTATCTCATTTAGCGGCATTTTATAATTGAAATTTAAGTTATAATTTTAAAAAATCATGTTTATTACAGTAAAGCTGTTTTTAGCAATCTGTATAAAGTGCTATAAAAACATAAACTTGATTATAGGTTCTGTCTGAAGACAGTTTTCGTGTAGTCTGCACTTCCTTGCTCCTTTGTTTAGAGGTTTCCTTTCTGTTAAGAAATAAAGCCTTCCTCAGAAGCACATGTTTTTGTCAATCCGGTTTTTTTAGTGTGAAGGGGAGTGCCTCTGGACAAACAGCTCGAAATGGATGTGTTGTGCAATTTAGGACAATTTAGAGAAAACAGACAAACGGTGTGAGCTGTTACAAGACAATCCAGAACATGTTGGACTTGATTGGGATGGAAAATAAAATGAGGGTGCAAATAAACCAAACAGCACTTACACACGACAGCCACCAATACAGACCCAAAGCAGCAGACCAGTAATAGAAACAACATCACATTTATTAGATAAGAGAATGACTCGGACCACTGCTGTTGTTCAAATATATTCTTTTTGTGGTTTTCTGTAGTGATACAGACATGATGTGATTATTTCATAAACATCACAAGTTTCTGAATATCTAACTGAAAAGCAAACCCTTTTTTCATCAATCACTCTGATTAGCTCAGAAAGATAATTAATACCTACATTACAGATAACAATTAAATCTTAAAAGATGTGTAACCCGTAATATCACTCACAAAAGAGCAGCAATAAAATCTCAACCATACACACTCCAAATATATTCCATATTTATCAATCCCCAAAATCCCTGGTCACTGCCAGCATAACAAGCTAAATGAAATACTTTAAGTAATCATTAATCATCCTTTGCCATTATAGTTTAGTGTTTAATTTCAACATCCAACGCCAAATAATTCAAGCAATAAAATGTCACCCATATTGAACAATCAAAAAATTGTAACATCTCATCAGGCAGTAGCATATTAGGTTTCTTTGATTTGATTTTTGTGGCTGTGTTACGGTAGATGCGATTGTTGCTGCTGAACTCTTCCTCATCAACTAGAACTCACTTGAAGAAGAGAGAAAAGAGAGGATGTTTGTTATACTGTATGAGAAATATACACTGAGCCGCATCAGACATAAATCATAACATATACAGTGTTTTTCTTTACCTTTCTGAAGTTTCACATCAAGGTGCTTTGCGAGATCATTCTGGTTGATGTTATTAAAGAGGATGAATGTTTAAAACACAGAGAAAAGAAGGTGAGTAGGCCTATTAATAAAATTTAGCTCAGCTCTTTCTAAGTAAAAAAAAATATATATAGAATACTTACATGTCTGACTGAACCAAAATTTGTCTGCGGTTTCTTGTTCACTTCGGTTTGGGGTTTCAATTTCTCTTATGGTTTTTCCAGAAATACTTGTCAGCCTCGCCCACACTAGTATCAAAGTATCCGCCTTTTTCAAGTAGAGTATGTCCCACAATGCTTTGCATGCATGCTTTGCTTTTATTACAGCAACTTCTACAACAAACTGTAAACAATAAATTATTGCAAATAACATTGCTTTATGTAAGAAATGAACATGCTGCTCAGCTGCATCAGTCATAAATCTTTTAATGGCTTCCATTTTGTGTCTCTGGAGGAATAAGGACAAAACATGACTGATCTGGAGCCATTTGTTCTCTTCAAAGTGGTGAATTCATGTAACAAAATAACTATTCACAATATTTTCCAACACCATTCTGATGTGACAGGAAACCCTGTGCACAAATATACTGTATTAAAAGGACAAAAAAACTAATCTGAGATGATAAATTGCATTTTATATCTGTTTTTGATTCACAATCATGTGAAACCATGAATTTTAAATGGCCTGGTATCATCTGAATTGGGTTCTCTCTCTCTCTCTCTCTCTCTTTTTAATCTGATAAAATCTAAACACGCTAAGGCCTAGACTGCTGAAAAATATAGCCTATTTAAATAAACAACATTAACACCGATTAAGTTGTTTTTAATTAATTTGTCCACTAATGTGCATAACTCATGTGCATATAAATGTAAAAAAATTTTTTAGTTTTTTTAATGTGCCATTATCCATGATCTACAATGTAATAGTGAACTATTGTGCTCATTACTGACCAATCAGAATTGATATTCAAATAATGCATGTAGTTTACTTCCATTCAAAATGCGGCTGAGAAAGGAACAAAGGGTGCTTAGTGAAATTTCTCTCCCTCTGCATATATAACCAATCATTATCAAAAGAAAACATGCAGTCCAATCAGCTTTCAGTAGGTTTTTGGTGCGTCGTCAGGTCTGTTTATGTACAACAGGTGAGAGGACACTTAAACATGTAGTCAAAGTAGTATCGATGAAATACAAATTAATCAACGATAAGACCACAGACTACATGGATGGAGTTAATCTTCACACAGGTGAGTAAATGTTAGATGGAATGGGGTTTCTCACAATATAAATGACTACTTTGAAATTGAAACCAATTTACCAATCGCACAAAGACCTTTAAAATGACACTAAACATGAAGGGGAAAAACAACAGGTTCACAAGATACATGATCTGTGGGATATGCATATTCTTAATGAACTTTGGGTGAAACCTTTTGGGGGAAAAGAGGGAGAGGCAGAGAGGCCAGGGGGAGAAGGGGGTCGTAAATGGGCGAGGAGAGAGCCGTTGATTGCTCTCTTTGAAGATTTCTTCTCCAGATAAGTTTTATTGTTTTATTGCATGGTGTCTGTTTTGTGTGAGTTCCTGAGTATTGGTTTCATGAAGAGTTAATTTCATAAGGAAATAAATTCAATCCTTTCACTTTCATTCATTTAAACTCTTTTTAATACTCTCGCCACTGCCGCATGACTCATTCCATTGATTTACTGTATTGCTAAGTGTGTTGGTGATCGGATAGATTTTAAAGAGTCATTCATTATCATCACTATTTTAAGATACAGTATCAGTAAGATAAAAATGGTCTACGTGAGCATAATTATCAAACAGTCAAACTGAACAAAAGGAACATGATAGAATTGAATTAAAGGCCAGTGAGAGTCATCTTTGTGTAAGTGTTTCTGTGTGCAACAATAATGTTTTTGAGTTGTTTATTTGGGGCATTTGGTTGTTTTTGTGTTTCAGAAGATTGTTTAATTTGATAAATTATTGACAGTACTATTTTTACTTAGATATACTAATACAATTGACACTATTAATTGGATAATTTTTTTAAAACAATAAAATTCAATATAAATTATGCTTAAAATGTAATGTTTATGTACGAGTTTTGGATTGTAGTATCCAAATGTTGTTCAGACTTTTCAAACACAGTTGTCTGAACAATTAATTTCATGCAATACTGCTCTATAAGTTTTGAATACATTTACCAGTTAATGTTATAGGACTATTCTTTTGTTGTATGCTGAATTTAAACTTTTGCTGTCGTTTTGTCAGTAGTTATATGTTGACTGTCATGTTAAGAGTTCATCTTTTTTTTTCTCTCTTTACCGCTATTCTTGAGGATTAAGGTCTATGTACAGCGCAATTTTTTAAATGTATATGCTATCTTTGTTTTGTAAGGTACTTTCTCTGTCATAAACAATGTTTTCAAGACATATTTTAATGTTGGCTTGTTATGGACTTGCCTGCCATTTCAAGACCGTTTGAAGCTTACAAGCCGTTCTGATAAAACTTAAAAAGGTTTTGTTTAAGGCACACATAGAAATCAAGAAACAGCGTATGAATTTCAACAACGGTGACAAACAGCATATTCATATAAACAGATCTACTCTGAACATCACAAACAAGCTACTAAACAGTCACATAAAAACAGCAAAAATAAAAGAAAATAGTAAGAATAAAATAAATTACAAAGACAATTCAGCTCATAAATTATTCATGTCACAATGCATGATGGGAGCCATGAATGAGTTTTGATTGGCTACAACATGCTTTTTTGATGGTCACCATTGTTGTGATTCTCATGCTGATTCTTGATGTCTGTGTCTTGACAAAATATTTTTATTTTATGTTTTTTTAAAGAAATTATATGATGCGAACACAATTTTTATTTTCTCTTTGGAGTGTTGCAAGCTTTTGGTGCATACAGAAGACCTGTAAAGTTGAAAAGACAAAATCTAAAATCCAAAAATATAATCTCTATAAAAGTTCAGAGTTAACCACACCACCTAAAATGACTCGTTGTAACACGCCCCCACATGTCTACATCATTGTGTGGGAAGATTTGCATAACGCCGCCCAAATGTTCACGCAAAGAAAGAAAGCGTGACTTTTATTCTCGCTGTAGTATTGTTGCCGCCGCCATGTCGTGAAGAGCTGTGTGTTTCGTTGTGAAAGCGAAACTACTTTGTTTGGTCTTCCAAAAGAGGACGATATCCGCTTCGTCATGCCTAGAGCTGATCTGTGCTGGTCGCTGAGGGAATACTTCAACTTAGTGCTGTGGATTGCCGGATCGGCTTTCACCGTGGACGAAGCAGAGTCCAGCCCGGGGTCATCACATGTGGTTGCCGCTCCTTCGTCGAATCCGCCGGCCGCGCTCTTCTCAAGCCCGCCGCCTCTGCTCACTCTAGCCTGCTGTGTGTTTCGTTGTGAAAGCGAAACTACTTTGTTTGTTCTTCCAAAAGAGGACACGACTACAAATCAATGGTTAAGTTGTATTTACAACACTGTTCCAGAACAGTTTAAACCAAATATTCAGATGTGTGCAGCACATTTTATGGAGGACTGTTTACTGATCCTGGGAGAGTAACGTTAAATTACATTGCCAGCAGTTCTGACTCACAGTCTGTAAGTACGTTTTAATTTAAATGATTTGCCACTGATGATTCAAACGATTCAAAGAGTTTTGAGCAGTGTAGAGTAGCACTTGTTGTCATTTCTCCGATCACAAATGCAGACAGGGTTTTATGTTTTAGCGCAAGTACTTCTATCATTTAAGCGGGTAGAACAAAAGTCATCAGGGCAGTTATTTGAGATTTGACTTACTAGTCATATGGAGCGCAGCGTCCTGGAGATGTTGTCCGACAGGAGTTCTGCTCCGACTCTGCTGGGGTGCAGGCCATCAGCGCAAAAAGCCCAGTGTTAAATTAACTCTCCCAGGAGTTTATTTGAGTCCACACTCAAAAATGTTCAAATTAACACTGAAGAATGTCAAATTAACACTGAAGCGGTGTTAAAGTTAATGAGATAATTAGGTGATTAATTAAGTGATGATTGACCATTACTGAAGACACCTGATGTTAACATGCAGAATCGCCAAAAGAGGAAATCTAAATGTTTAAGTCACCATTATAGTGGTCAGTGTTTGCATTAGTTGGGCTCTTGACTCTTAAAACGTTAACATTAAATTTTGTTTGGCTACAGTAACTGAGTTATAACAGCTAGATGAACTAAAGGAAAAGTGGTTATGTGGCGTTGATTATGATTTGACGTAGGCCTGGGTGATAAAATTGTAGCGATATTTATCGATGATACACCTTCTTCGATAACGATATATAAAAAAATGTATATAGTGCATGATATAGGCACATGCTATATCGTGAATGTGACGCAGACAGCACACACCAACATGAACACATGCTGAATTGAGTGCGGTTTCTGCCTGTGATAAGGAGGTTGTAAATAAAAAAAAGAAAATTTGTTGAATTAAAAATAAACATTTGCATTCGAATGCAAAATTAGCACAATCAAATATTAGGAGTGCATCAGGGAGCGTCATCAGTGGAGCACGAGATGTGGTGGTGACGCAAGTGACGTTGCATTTTAATGTTTTGTTAGTCTAGCCCACGAGAAGCGCAGTTGCTGCGTTATGCATTCAAAATATTATAGAAATATAGAAGCTCAATGTAGAGAAGATCTTGATTAGGTTAAAACTGAAACCAAGCCATTCACACAACGCATATTCAGCACATTTTTTTAGACGGACAAATGACTGCTGCACTCGCGTCTCACACAAGAGATGTATAGAAAGCCATGCAAAGTTAAAACAGTTTAAACTTTTAGAAAACACGTCGCAAATTTGTGGAGGTTTATTCCTTTTCACTGCGTCTCATATGTTTTTAAATGCAATCTGAGTGAATGGTGCTTCGGCTCTTTGGATTAAGCAATGCATAAATACATGATGCTGTTTGGTTCATAATTGTTTATGCAATTTACAAAATTATATTTGATTTGAGTTAATGTAGATGTAATGCACGTTTTTTATAGACTTATTTCTTTGCGTTGACAATTTAAATGTGCTGCATTATTTTGCTCATTGCACCCTCCTGTGGCCTCAGGAGACAAGACAAAGATTCCTTAAGACCTATTTAGTCTGCATATAAAACATTAGACATTAGATATGTTTAATTTTTATTGTGTGTTTGACTGTTAAAACAAAAATATTTGTTGTTTGTCTCAATAAATTGGGTTAATTTAAAAATAACTATTGCTCTTTGTTTTAAAAAATGTTATAAAAAATGTCAATAATTATCGATACGGAACAATATGAAACATTATATCATTGATACATATTTTAGCTATATCGCCCAGCCCTTTGACATAATCATCACGTAGTGACCTGAATAACTGAGTTAGATTTTCTTTATTGATTACGTCAACCCTGTGAATAACATAAGATCTGACATTGTCGGTATAATCAGACAAATATTTTTACAACATATTTTAATCAAGAACTTATTTAAAGGGGTTAATTCAGGATCTAGAAAAAATCTGATTGTGATTAAACCATTTATTTTACATTTTTTATGGTTTAAAAATTTTTTTAAAGTTTGGGCTCCTAAACATTAGATCACTCTCACCCAAAGCAGTTATTGTAAATGAAATGATCACAGATAATAGTTTTGATGTACTCTGCTCGACTGAAACATGGCTAAAACCTAATGATTATATTGGTCTAAATGAGTCTACTCCACCAAGTAACACTGAAGCAGTGTTAAAGTTAATGAGATAATTATGTGATTAATTAAGTGCTGATTGAGCATTAGTGATGAACAGCTGCTGTTAACAAGCAGAATCACTGAAGAAAAGAGAAACACAAGAACTACAACTGACTTCAGCCACACACTTAGATTAAATCAACTGAAATAAAAGAAGACATTAAATCTCTCAAGATCTCAGCAGAAGATGATTAATCATCTCCACAAACAGCATCACCAGCTTCATGCATTACTAACCAGTTTGAATTTTTGTTTGTCATGCATCTAAAAATGTCTTATTATGAATTAACAGAGATTTAGATGTTAATGTTTATTGAAAATAATACAATTTGAAGTCACCACTGTGGAGATAAGTGTTTGCTTTAGTTGGGCTCTTGACACTTGACTTTTAAACATTAGTTGTTCTATGATTGCTGTAAACGTGTTTATAAAACACTTTTGTTATGGTACAAAAAATCAAGAGAAAATGGGTTTAGATAATATTGCCAGTCATTTTTAATAATAATATAGTTGTCATGTTGTAGCAGGTTCACTGATGTCATCATGGTAATGAGTAAATGAGTTTGTTACTGATATCAACAGTGTTTTAATGAAATAATACAGCTTTAAAAACACTTTACACACCAGTTTAGAACATCTGTACTGTTTAGACACACAGACATCAAGAATCAGCATATGAATCTCAGCAATGGTGACGATCATCAGACAGATTCATGTTGCAGTGCATTCTGGGTGCACCAATCATAACTCATCCATGACTCCCAGCATGCATTGCAACATGAATAAATTACGCAGCTGCATTTAGTATTTGCTTTTATTTTTGTTGTGACTTTTTTTACTGTCTTGTTTTGTCATGTTCAAAAATCACGTAAAAATTATCAGAATATTTTGTCACCATTGCTGAGATTCACATGCTGATTCTTCATCTCTATGAGTGCCAGAAGTGAAACCTCTTTATGAACCATATTTATAAATGTCATTTATGAAGTGTTTCTCACATTGCTATCTCAAATAACTGCAACAACATAGAATTCATAAAAGCACTATCTTAGATAAATTGCAATCAAAGACTCAGACACATGATATGATTTTATCATAAGACACACAATTGAGCCAACCAAAGATAAACCAAAGATAAACTTTAACTTAAAAAGTCAAGGGTCAAGAGACAACTAAAGCAACCACTATTCACAAAAACGGTAAGTTGAAAAAAACCCCCATCTAAACAGGAAGTAATACTCAAAATAAAACAAACATTTATTAGACAAGAAACAAATAATTGCTCCACCATGGTTGTTGATGCAATACAGTTTATTTGTGTCATTTTTTGAGACTAACAAGCTGAAATGCATTACATTTTTTCCCCTAATAACCATGTTTTCCCAGTAATCACACAAGAAAGATGTAACTGAACTCCTGCATCCTAAAAGGTGAAAGATCAGATGTAGAAAGACTGATTCCATATCAAATTAAATCTCTAAAAATGAACAACTCCCCAAAATATTTCATAAGAACTGTACCCAGATCTCTACTCTACACACACACACACACACACACACACATTCAAAGAAATTACAAAAAATAAATGAGCAATACCTATGTTTATCCATCACCAAACAAACCTGTCCTAATATAACACAACCCTTCACCATTATCTTGTTAACTAGTGCCTATTCACCCAACATCCAGCACCACATTGTGATTAATAATAATAATAACAACAAGCTGCTCAAACACTAACATAAATCAGCTATTAGCCCCAAATATCTGTCTACTGTATTTGTGAAGAACTAAAATCAAGGTAAAATCTTCCCCCACTTTAGTTTAATAGCTGTTTCTTTAAATTGATTTACTCTCATGATTTTACTTTCTCATCACTGATTTTTCATTGCACTGCTCTTTGTTAGCAGTATCTGCCACATGTTTTATTCACAAAATAATCTCATTTAGGCACATGTGGCTTCAATAGCTGTCAATCAGTTGTAATCATTCAATCCTGATGTTCCTCATTTTCTGGTCGCTTTGCATAAAAGCATCTACTAAATCAAATTAATTGCATGATATGCTATCATGATATGATAAGTAATTAATCAAGTTATTCCCAATTCAGTGTATATATTGCCATTTGCAGATAAAACAAAGTAAAATATATTATATAATTGTGACAGCAGAGTAAATCACTGATTAGACTATTTTTGTTTAGAAATTATAATTAAACATTAAATTAATGCTTTAAATTAACAGCCCTACTTTAAAGGTGGACGAGGGCAGCAGATGAATGGAGTTAGAGGTCAGAATTTACTCTGTCACACGTTTCACAGACAGAGCAGGAGCAGTGGGGTCACTGGCACACCACGCCTCAGGATTGGGATACTCCCCCTCCTTCAGTTGGTAACTGGGTTCAGCATAGTCACGACCCTCATAGAGATCCCAGACACCACTGAGCACCTTACAGGAGCGGACCTCATTTATACCACAGTCATCCAATGAACGATGGTCAACTGTTGTCTCATGCATTCGCTCTTCAAAATCTTCCTTTTCATAGAGCTGGATCTTATAAGATGTCACACGTTTCACAGACAGAGCAGGAGCAGTGTTGCCATTGCCCCAAGCCTCAGGATTGGGATACTCCCCCTCCTTCAGTTGGTAACTGGGTTCAGCATAGTCAGGACCCTCATAGAGATCCCAGACACCACTGAGCACCTTACAGGAGCGGACCTCATTTATACCACAGCTGTTCAATGAAGGACAGTCAACTGTTGTCTCAAAGTTTGGACTTTTAAAATTCACCTTTTCATAGAGCTGGATCGTAAATGGCAGACATTCAAGAGACCAAGCAGGATCAGGAACGGGAGCAGGAGCAGAAGCAGTGGATTTGCCATCGCTCAATGCCTTAAGATTGGGATACTCTCCCTCCTTCAGTAGGTAATCATCTCCACTGTCACGACCCTTCCAGAGCTTCCAGACACCTCGGATCACCTTACAGGAGCGAACCTCTGTTATACTGCAGCGGTCCAATGATGGACAGTTGCCTGTGATCACACACTTGGTACCTCTAAACGCATGCTGATCGTATAGCTCAATTACACACTTGAAGAAAAAGAGAGAGAAGAGAGAGGGTGAGTTTTTTCTTTTTTATCTGACCCTCCATAGACAGCAACACAACTGGAATGTTCCCAGGCCCAGAAACGTAGCAAGGACATCGGTAAAATATTCCATGACATCAGTGGTTCAACTGTAATTTTACGAAGCTATGATAATACTTTTTGTGCCCAAAGAAAACAAAGATGAATAAAGGTCTTACGGGTTTGAAGCAACATGAAGGAGAGTAATTAACGACATAATTTGTATTTTTGGGAGAACTAGCCAGTTAACCTCACTATTATCAATCACTTTTGGGACAAATTAATATTGACTAACAAATATAATTTTTTTTTGTTTTGACATCACTGGATTCCCTGTCTGACCAGGACCCTTAAATCGTCTTAACCTCCTCACAGGACCTTGTGACAACAAGCTGCTGTATCACTAAAGGTACAATTTTTCCACATTTTGTCTGACAGTGTAGGCCAATCGTTAGCTCACAATTGTTAGCTGTTTAATGAAAAAATTGACTGTGAATGCAAGCTGCTATTTATTGCTTAGACCATCACTTGATTAAGTGTTGCAAGAAATCAAGCATACAGTTAGTTTTGGCAGATCACGTCAAGCAAGCTTGTATTATCTGACTCAGCTGATCCACGACTACCAATAGGAATACACTATCATAGCATGCTTATATAAGGTCTATTCAGTATTATTCAGCAGATGTATTGCTTTGCTCAGAAGCTAATTACCCTCCTCCATTCCAAGAAATTTGTTATATTAAAATTGATGTTAATAGCAACATTAATGATATCTTCAATACATTTGTGTTGATTGTGTTCTGTCTACTCTAAGGGGGTTATCGCTGCTCTCTGAGCTAGACTGCCACAACAGAACCATTACCATACCACCAGTCCACACTGTGTGCTAACTGTCAATGATCTTTGATGATAGTGGCCCTCACAGAATTAGTTTTTCTAGAAAAAGTTACTTGAGCAGCACAGTGGTATGAGTACCTCATATTTCCTAATCTTGCGGCCTTTATTGTGCTGCTTCTTTCTGTAGAAATAGACATGGTCGATAGGGTCAACCTCCTTTTCATCCTCCTTATTATAATCCAGTGGAATCACCTGTGAGAGGAGATTTACAATGTTACAGTTATTAAACACTGTTGATTAAAAAAAGTGATACAAATTAGTGCTGTCAAAATTAAAGCGTTAATGCAGGCAATGTTTTTTTTTTTTCAGTTTAAAAATATTTAATGCAGTTAATGTTATTTTTTATAAAGTCTAATAAATGTTAAAATGGACAGCTCTCAATTATACTGTAATGCTGAATGGCTATAGTCAATGGTTAAATGTTAGGGGGAAAACTATTTTATAGAGACATCTGTATTATTGGTATCAGTGATACTGGCCTTCAGTCATAAAAAAACAAAAAACAAGATTTTTACCCAAAGCAAGTTTCCCTGCACCCTGGGCTGTCTTTTTTGTGAGTGACTATTGAAATAAAACTTGCTATATGACCATCTGAATACTTATCTGAACCACTCACCTTAAAGAGATAGTTCACACAATTTTTATTCTGTCATTAATTGCTCACCCTCATGTTGTTCCAAACCCGTAAGACCTTTGTTCATATTCGGAACACAAATTAAGATATTTTTGATATCCTGCATAGACAGCAACACAACTGGAATGTTCCCAGGCCCAGAAATGTAGCAAGGACATCGGTAAAATATTCCATGACATCAGTGGTTCAACTGTAATTTTACGAAGCTATGATAATACTTTTTGTGCCCAAAGAAAACAAAGATGAATAAAGGTCTTACGGGTTTGAAACAACATGAGGGAGAGTAATTAATGACAGAATTTGTATTTTTGGGAGAACTGTCCCTTTAACCTCACTATTATCAATCACTTTTGGAACAAATTAATATTCACTAACAAATATAAATTTTTTTATATATATATATATATAGTTTTGATATCACTGGATTCCCTGTCTGACCAGGACCCTTAAAACCGTCTTAACCTCCTCACAGGACCTTGCGACAACAAGCTGCTGTATCACTAAAGGTACAATTTTTCCACATTTTGTCTGACAGTGTAGGCCAATTGTTAGCTCACAATTGTTAGCTGTTTAACGAAAAAAATTACTGTGAATGCAAGCTGCTATTTATTGCTTAGACCATCACTTGATTAAGTGTTGCAAGAAATCAAGCATACAGTTAGTTTTGGCAGATCACGTCAAGCAAGCTTGTATTATCTGACTCAGCTGATCCACGACTACCAATAGGAATACACTATCATAGCATGCTTATATAAGGTCTATTCAGTATTATTCAGCAGATGTATTGCTTTGCTCAGAAGCTAATTACCCTCCTCCATTCCAAGAAATTTGTTATATTAAAATTGATGTTAATAGCAACATTAATGATATCTTCAATACATTTGTGTTGATTGTGTTCTGTCTACTCTAAGGGGGTTATCGCTGCTCTCTGAGCTAGACTGCCACAACAGAACCATTACCATACCACCAGTCCACACTGTGTGCTAACTGTCAATGATCTTTGATGATAGTGGCCCTCACAGAATTAGTTTTTCTAGAAAAAGTTACTTGAGCAGCACAGTGGTATGAGTACCTCATATTTCCTAATCTTGCGGCCTTTATTGTGCTGCTTCTTTCTGTAGAAATAGACATGGTCGATAGGGTCAACCTACCTTTTCAGCCCCCTTATTATAATCCAGTGGAATCACCTGTGAGAGGAGATTTACAATGTTACAGTTATTAAACACTGTTGATTAAAAAAAATGATACAAATTAGTGCTGTCAAAATTAACGCGTTAATGCAGGCGATGTTTTTTTTTTTTCAGTTTAAAAATATTTAATGCAGTTAACGCAGGGGCGGAGCTAGAGTTGGCCACCCCACTCACAACTGCTGCTTCTGTCCCTTTTTTTTTCTTTAAAAGAAATGCATTTATTCAGTCACAGAACGTCTTTACGATCACATCAAATGGGAGACAATGTTTCAGACATGCAATCCACTTCACTTCAGCGTCAGGCGCGAGTTAGTCTCACGTAGCCAGACCTTCAGACTGACGGCTGACGGTCTGGAATCCATGGCAGCTTTCATTGGCCAAGGCACACCCATGAGGCTGTTTGACCGACATGTCAAACAACCAATCACAGTTCAGCGTCACGTTTCGAGTTGTGGAAATGTCGCCACAATAACAGACCGGTGTGTAAAACTCTCGGACGTATTTTAAAGATTCTATGCCGCAAACTTTAAATATTTCACATACTTTTGAGAATCCAGCGTTTAGTTGATCCTGATAAGCGCTCTTCGTCACAATTGTAAACACGACGGCTTTCTTCTTTCATGAGGGGGTTTGGTGCCACATTTCCAGACGGAATGTTAAAGAACGCAACACATCCTGTATAATTCAACCAATCCGATGACGACTTCGAAAATCCTGAAGCGTTTCCACTTTTGTGTGCCGTATGCATGAGACGTTCAGCCAACAGTCCGTGGGCGTGACATCTGAGGCTGAGACTAGGTGCGAGTTAAACGAGCACGGAAACGGTTCTGTGTCCGGAGCACGTGCTCTTCAATTGCATGCACAAATGTGCCGGTGCGAGCTGTAGCCTGTATCATTTAATATCAAAGCGCGAAATAAACTACGTGCATGCAATGTCGTGGTCATAGTTAAGTCATGAAGTTACCAAAAAGGTGATTAAAGCTGCCTTAAAACTGTGCATGCATGTAATATATAATATGAGTTACATTTAAGAACATGCCTCTGAAATGGAATGGTTTTCAAAACTGTCCTGGAGCAGCCCAGCACTGTCTCACTCATCTAACACACCCAAATTAACTCGTCAGCTCATTAGTAGAGACTTTAAGACCTGAAGTGGGTCATAAAAGGTAGAGATTTAAGAGGAGATACGATGCGTGTCAGATCTGTGTCATATTCAGCAGCGGCAGCTCTTAAAGAAATAGCCAAGATAACCGAATAATCTGTAATGTCTGTTAATCAAAGAAAAAAATCAATAACTTTTATAGCTTGAAGGATTCCTCTATATTTAATTTGAAATAGTGTTTAATAACTTCAATTTCAATTTCTGTATATTTCTGCTGAAGGACACTGTTAAATATGACATTTATTATAATGGGTTTATGTGAAAATTGTTTTAAGTTCACTTAAATTAGAAGTTATTTTTTATAAAGTCTAATAAATGTTAAAATGGACAGCTCTCAATTATACTGTAATGCTGAATGGCTATAGTCAATGGTTAAATGTTAGGGGGAAAACTATTTTATAGAGACATTTGTATTATTGGTATCAGTGATACTGGCCTTCAGTCATAAAAAAACTAAAAACAAGATGCCATTAAACAAATATTAAAAATATACTCTCCTTATGCTTTTTCTACATTCATTTGAAAATGTAATGTGAAATTATTGCGATATAAAAGTATATTTAAAAACTTTAATGTTAGGTGGGATTAATTGTGACTAATCACGATTAATTTCAGAAAAAAATGTGCGATTTAATTATTATTATTTTATTTTTTTATTGATTGACAGCACTAATAAAAAAAAAAAGACTGGAAATGTTGTTTTGAACACAGCATACTTCAGTGCTGAAATCCTTCTTATCCAAGAACACAGTTGGGTGAAGTTTGTTCCACTCGTCCACTGCTTTATTCCAGTTATCCTGTAGAAATGCAGATTTAAGTTCAACAAATGAAAACAAATGATCTATATGAGAGTGTGTGCCCCAATAAATAAAAAAAATGTGATTGCCTTTTAACTGCACATTTCTATCAATTTTAATGTTTGAAATGATGAGATGTCAGAGAAAATGAAAGAGGATTTGTCGGTGGACAGTAAGGTACACTTGTTAAAATTAGTTAACTATATTAGCTAACATGAACTAACAATGAAAGATACTTCTAAAGCATATTAATTTAGCATATTATTCACATTTATTCATGTTAATTTGAACATTCAGTATAAAAATAAAATGTATCTCTTCATGGAATTTACTGGACCTGAGCTGACATGAACTAACAATAAACAGCTGTATTTTTATTAACTAACGTTAACAAAGATTATTAAATGCTGTAACAGATATATTGCTCATTGTTATTTAATGCTTGTTAATGCATTTACTGACACTAATTAATGGGACATATCATTCATAGAGCATTCTAGAGTGCTGTTATATTTAAGTTAATTTAATTAAGGTTTGAAAAATAATTGAAAAGGGACACGATTCTGATAAGGAACTTAATCAGTTACATTTTTCCTTAATATATCTGTATATTAATTATTTCGTTTCTGTGATCTTGACACTGTTTGACCCAGTTTGCCAACCATCTACCAGCAAACTGGGATACAAACAAGAACATGTAATTTCAATGGAGTGATAATACAAATTGCATTTACCGATTCAAAATGACAATTTATAACACTAAAGCACAGTTTAGAAGGGCAAGATTAGAATTTTAATGATAAGAGTTTTAAAGATATGCTTCACTATAATTATATTCACACTAGTGAATTACTCGCAACAATCAACCTTTCAAAATCCAGCGGCAGTGAAGGAGAAAGGAAACAATAAAGAACAGGCCAGCAGTCAAAGATGATGTTTTAACATTGTAAATGCAGTGCCCTCCTCAATGTCTGGAAGAAAAGTAACTTGAAGAAGGCATTTAAATAAAACATTGTGTTTTTCTCATTTTTCTTCTACCTTGAAGGCTTCTTTCTCTTCAATTTCTTTTAGTCGAGTCTCTCCCACACACTTCTGCAGGCGTCGCATCACAACATCTTCAAGCTCTTTTCGGGCATCTTTCAGCTTGTCATCACTGGAGTACAAGATCTTCTCAAAGATGTGATCTGATAGAAGGAGAACAATTTGACGGAAACTCTTCTGGTCAAATGACAAGAAGTAGAACTTTAAAACTTCCATGTTTACAACTTACCTGTCAGTTTAATGAACTTTGCAGACTTTTCATCTTCAGATGATGGCATCTTGCGTTTTCGTGAACTGCTTGTAATATTTTTGATCTTCTGCTTGATATCATCTGGTGAAACCGGTGAAATCGGTGAGATCTCAAGCACGTCTTTAGCTTCTAAGAGCGCTTTTATGATTCTAATGAACAAATAAAAAATAATGAAACAGTAAATTACTCAAAAAATAATGCATTAAAAAAGTTAACTGAATAATAATAATAATAAAATAAAAATGTACTTGTTTTCAGTGATGTTGACTATCTTGTGCTGGTAGGCCTGCTGATATAGAGTGTAGCGGGTGTGAAACATGTCATAAATATTATCTGCCACCTGTGAGAGACAGAATGACACAAACACAGTCAAATATTAATCATTCGATTGAAAACATTAAATGGTTTTATGTGAGTATGACTAACATTAAGTTGCAAATATTGAAATATAAAGGTTATTCATAAATATCACTCTTAAATTTAGCTGAAGTGGAAACTTGTAAGATGACTAATGATTGGGTGAATGTCATAGTGCACAGTGCAACTAAAGTCAGCGTTTTGTTGTTTTATATGGATGTTACACTTGCAGTGCTATCAAACAGACTGAAAACAATCAGCCATTGAATAAGCACTGGTTGACGAGGGATCTTGTGTATCATGTACCTTGTCTCTGAAGCAGATGTGATTCGTCCCGTTGACTTTACAGACTTGAGCAGATTTCAGCATGCGCTGATGGTCAAAGCTGTTAGAAATGCCGAGATAATGACAGTCTCTGAAAGAGAGAACATGAGTGTGCTCAATACTGTTGACTGTTATGACTGATCTCTGACTTTATACTGACACCTAATAGCATGCGGCATCATACATAAGTGACAATTCTCAGTTATTGATACTATTATAGAAATGTTTTATCTAGTCATGGTTAATTTGTTCCACAAGGGAAAGTGTCCAAACATGAAGGGTTACTAATATTAGACTGCTCATGTGATCTGATCATGGCGGCCACCATGAGGCGACCTAATCCATGTTGAATAAATCAGCTTTAATGACACTACTGATGTGATGGTGGACACATGAGAGGACAACATTTGCATCATCTCTTTCAATGTTTTTTTTTTTTTATGTAAAGCTGTTTGATACACTGTAAAAAAAAATAAAAAATAAAAAATGTGAAATGCTTGGCAGCACAGTGTGCCAAATGTTTACCATAAATGGAAATAATGGTTAAAAAAAAGTGTTTTTTTTTTTTTAAACGGTCAGTGACTGGCAGAAGCAGTTGCCAAACAAAAACTGCAGCATCCTATTTTTTTCTAAAACGTTTTTTTTACTGTTACTTTACAGGTATTGTCTGGATTATCATTGTGAAACTTTTTTTTAACCATCAGCTAACAACAGCACACATGCAAAAACTAATAACTACACTAAAAAATTGCTGTAAAAAACGGCCATATTCTGACAGTAACATCCTGTTTTTTCATTACAACAGTACAATCCCGTAACAAAACAACATATTCTGGGTAATATTTGTTATTTTCGAGAAAGTATCCTTCTGCAGTCCTTGTAGTAACAGCGTTCAGATTCGACACTCAGAGACTGTGTCTAAAATCACACCCTACACCCTCATTCACTATTCCCTACATGAGTTTACTAATACAGTCCACCTGACAGAGAGAATGAACACTAATGAGTGAATTCAGACACTGATGAACAGCTGCTGTTAACAAGCAGAATCACTGAAGGACAGAGAAACACAAGAACTACAACTGACTTCAGACAGACTTAGATGAAATCAACTGAAATAAAACAGCAGAACACGATCAAACAACTCCACACTCAGCATTACAGTTTGACTTTATTTCTGTCATATATCTACACAAACTATTTGAGAATTAACAGAGTTTTAGATGTTGATGTTTTATTTTAAAATAATCAATAATAATTAATAATAATAATAAGTTTTCTCTGTCTGCTGTAACTGTGTGTTTCTAAAGCACTTTTGTTATAGCAAAACCTGTGAAACAAATTCTAATCAGATGAAGCTGTTTACGTACTGATGATGATCTTGCCATTGTATAGTGGCCCGATTCATTAACCTCATCAGAGATGTCTAAAGTACAAGCATGTTACATTTATTTATTTTCCAACTTTTATATGGTTTGTAATAAGTGAAGATGCTGAGATGTATAGAGATCTGTTAGTGTTTCATGTTCTGTTGCTGCCAGTCATGTGACATTTAATTAATTAATTAGTTGATTTTACAGTGAAGGTGTTTGATTGTAATAAATTAGGAAATGCCTGTAAATGAACAGTGCTGTCAGCTTGTTTAAATAAGGAGATTTTACTTTCATTTTAAGGTTTTTGTTTGGCACCCTGTGTTGCCAGTCATTTGACCGTTTTTTTCATTTTTTTTTTTTTTTTTGTTTTTTTTTTTTTTTTTTTTTTTTTTTTTTTTTTTTTTTTTGTCTTTTGTTTTTCAGTGAAGGTGTTTGATCATAAAAATTCAGGACATACCTGTAAAATAACCAGTGTTTGTCAGATTATTTAAATAAGGATATTTTATTTTAATTTTATGGTTTTTGCTTGGCAGCTGTTGCTGCTAGTCATTTGACCATTTTATCATCTAACAGTTTTGTTATTGTATTAATTACAGATTATTTTTGTAATTTTACATTTGTTTGTAATTTAGGAAAACAGAAAACACTGTATAAAATACAGTAGTTTTTCTGTATATAAAATGTAAATTACTCTAATTTGTCATTTGTTATAATACTTAAAATAACAGACAAGAAAGCTGTGTATCCAGCTTTCAACATAGAATCTATCACTGAGTCAGATGTGATGAGAGTGATTAGATCCCTTAGGCCATCTCGAGCTAAAGATGTCATTGGGATGAATACATGTATGTTGAAAGAACTTTCTGAAGTATTAAACACTGTCAACATTAATTTTATAACTTAAACTCTGCTGCCGTCTTGTCTTTTTTGCTTTGCTAGTTTGATATTTTTATGTAAAAGAGGTTGTTTGGTTTAGGACTGACTGAATGATTAGGGTTATTGTTATTTGTTTGTATGCTTACATTATTTTTGTTTGTATATTGATATTGTGATATTATTGATGTATTGTTTAGTTTGTTTGATAGTGGATTGTGTGTATGAGTGAGCTGGTATTGAGGTGTTGGTTATGTGTATAGTATAACTTTAAGGCGGATGTTTTGTTTTTAGGAATTAGTGTGAATGGCACATGTATTTTAAAGTATGTAAGTATTATGTATTGATTAAATTTTTATATTTTTAGGGTGACAATTTTACCATCGGTCCAGAGACTGCAGATGCAAAATAGCCTTCTGGCTAATTCTGGCACATTGTGCATTTATGTATTGTTGATGTTCATTTTCCCTGTTAAATAAACCTGAAATAAATTAAATTCGGTATACAAAGAATATGAATATATTTTGAAAATAAGAATCAAAATGTAAATCAGACTATCAACCATCCAGAGGGCACCTTGATATCAATTTGACATCATAGAATATAACTATAACTATTAAAATTAGTAAAGACTTGATTATGATGCTGTAACATTATTTTAAGGTCAGTTTGGACCACAATTTCTTCCAGTGGTAATTGGGTAAAAATAAGAAGTTAATGCCACACTGAAATTAGTTTAATGTATGTATAGGCCAATATGTTTGATGTTCACTTTATATCAAATCAACATCATGTCAAGTTTTTAACATCAGTTTGATTTGCACATTTGACCTGTTGTTTCACGTAAATTTTGATGTCAATTTGATATCTTTTCCACATCAAATCACCCACTGGGCATTTAAGCACTTTTTTGCGCAGTTTTGTAAAAAAAAAATCAATTTAAAAAAAGTTATGTGTAAAAGAATTGTTATTTATTTACCGTGCAAAATAGTCCCATCTTCGCACGTCAATGCCATTCCAATTATTTGCCACAATCTCATACAGGAAAGACTTGTTCTAATAAAGAATAATTCAAATACTTTTAATACTCAACTTAAACTCTGCATAACTTGTTTGACATTGCAGTTTACAGGATGTTACCTCTTGAGCTGCTTTATAATCCCCCTCAATTAGCATCTGAATAAAGGTGAGATCCTTGTTTGTCAGCTCTGTGTTTAGTCCTTCATTCCTTACTATGTCCAGAAAAATCCAGATTGAGGCTACCTAGAGAGAGACAATATAAATATTGGAAATAAATTAAACCGTATATACATCCGTAAATACATACAGTAATAATACAGGATTCATCAAGACTGAGCATCTAATTATATTTTTATTAAATTATGACTGATAAATAGATTATATTTAACAGTCAGTGTTTCTCATGAAGTGATTTGCAATTTATTAGTGGCCTGTATTTGTATTCTTGTCAATTTCCACAGAATGTAATGTTGGCTTATTCCTCTCAAGGGATTTTCACACTGCACTTAACCCCGGGTTCTCGTCGTTCTAAACCCCGCTTTTAACCCCAGAAAAATGTAAGTTTCGCACTTGTTTTTTTGTTGTTTTTTTTACCCAGGGTTATGAAATCCAGCTCTGGAGCAAGTTTAGCACTGTTTTTGTGGTGTTAACCCCACATTGCAGAGTCAAACACGTTGCAGTGTGAACCGATGTTACAGCTACATGCTTAGCAACAGGCAACCAATTGCGTGTCTTCTACTCACATGATTTGGACAGTCTCAGAAACATCACATCATTTCAACAGTAGTTTCAGTATTTGAGGGGGAAAATGACAAATGGTTACAGAAATATGACATGTGAGGTGAAGAAGAGACCTTTTCATTTTTTCATTTATAATCTGGAAAGGCCATTCAGTATAAGCCTGCTAGTACAGTCGACAACATACAGTATGAGCAATGCTAGAGCAGTTATAAACAGGTAACATGCTGCATTTCATTCAGTCAATGGCACTGACAACACAAATATGCAATTAAGAGTGTTAACCCAGGGTTTAGGAATGTACAGTGTGAACATCAATTGTTAACCGAGTGAATTATGAGCAGTGTGAAACATCAAGCAATAACCCAAAACTTTATTTACCCAGGGTTTAGAATGACTCAGGGTTAACTCGAATGTGAAAAGCCCATTTATTTATTAAAAGAAGACAATCTTTTGAATACTGTTGATCAAATGTTCAAGGTAGAGCTTAAGTGTATTTAACCCACAATTTTTTTTTTTTTAACTGATTCTATCTAGATTGCTACTGATAAGTGCTATTTGGATAAGCGTGTCTTTTGGCTATATTGTAAACGAGAGCATATCAAACAATGTTTTTTATTTTATTTCTCTTTCACAAATACGGACTGTTCATGTGTGATTGCATGGCTTATATATTCAGTAGGAACGTTTGTTTAGTAAGTTCGTTTAGCCAATTAAATGCTCTCATAAGGCTCCAAAAAGGTCTACTCTGTTCACCCAAATTATTCATTGAACATTATTCACTAAACCTCATTTGTGCAGCTTGTTTTCTCTAGCCTTGCTGTAAACTCTCTTGTTTTTTTTTCAGCTCCTTTTCATACATTGTTGTGTTGGACATCACATTTCTATGCTTGTTTAATATAGTTTTATGTATTGTAATGTATTTGTGTTAGATGACTGAGTACATCGCAATACGACCAATTAAATAGCACATTCATTTAAGCATAATACAATACACAGAGTTTAAAATGCTACTTGTAATACATGTATATTTGTACAGGAGAGTCATGGTGCTTACCTTCCACTTATCATCTAAAAAGAGAGCAAACAGGGGTTATTATACATGACATGTTTATCATTGATTTCACAAGAACTGACTTATGAATTGAAACTAAAGTGACAACCATTGCATTAGTGAAAGTTTTTTTCGACACACACACACACACACACACACACACACACACACACACACACACACGTTGGGTTTCCATGTTTTATGGGCATTTTCCATAGACATAATTATTTATATACAGAACAAACTGTATATTATGTCCTCTAAAACCTTACCCTAAACACAACCATCACTAAAAGCCTTCTGCAAAAAAAAAAATGTCCCCACAAATTCTACAATTTCTAGACATTCGATCCAGGAACGTAGGGAATACCTGAGGCTCTTTCTTTCTCTTCTTTTTCTTTCTTTTTCTTCTCTTCTGATGGACCCGGTTGTTGGTCATCTCCACTGCCACCGGCAGCAGCTGTAAAACGTCAAAAATCAAAACTAACAACTATTCCTGCTGTCCAATTACTTCTACATACTTCTAAATATTAAACATGCATATAATGATGTACGTATGCAGTAAATGTAAACAAGAAAGGCTATAAGTGACTTTGACTTCAACCTTCTTCAAATGACAATAAAAGTCATCAACGGAAAGAACACAACGTGATAATTCAAAACTAAATGAAATTAAAATTTCAGATTCTTCATGTAAAGGTACATTTTCAGGTAAATATGTACATGGTACTAGAGAAAAAGTTAATAACATTTATATAAATATTAGCTCCGAATAGCACTGTTAATTAATAAACAGTTATTGATCACACATCTGACCACAAACATTGGCATCAGTCAACAGAGAGGCTCAGACTCTTACCAGGCCAGGCTTTATGGATGAATTTCTCAAACAGATGAGAGAATGGACCATGACCTTAAAGATAAAAACATAAAATATACTGATCAAATCACGGTTCATATGTTGCTCAGCACTGTAAAAGAAAATAAACCTAAAAATAAAACAGTGAAATGCTTGGCACCACAGGGTGCCAAACGTTTACCATTAATGGAAATAACGGTTAAATAATGTTTTTTTTGTTTTTTTTAAATGGTCAATGACTGGCGGAAACAGCTGCCAAACAAAAACTGTAAAATTAAGGTACAGCATCCTATCTTTTCTCAAAAGTTTTTTTTTTTTTTTTTTTTTTACTGTTACTTTACAGGTATTGTCTGGATTATCACTGTGAAACATTCTTTGTGAAACTACTTTTTTTTTTTGCAGTTAACCATCAGCTAACAACAGCACACAAGCAAAAAAGAATAACTATCACTGCAAACAGCAATGGTGACCAACAAAACACAGACAACAGAAACCCTTTAAATCCCAAAAGAACATTGGACACTAACAGATCTCTCTAGATCTCAGCATCTTCACTTATTACAAACCTTTATTCTTTATTCTTTCATACAACATTTCTTATTGAGAATAGAGATGTTTTCTCCGGCTTCCATAACTGTGTGTTTCTAAAATCCATTTGTTATAACAAAATATGTGAGAAAATTCTGATTAGATGTTGTTTACATACTGATGACGAACTTGCCATTGTATAGTGGCTCAACCGAAATATTTAATGTCCAAACAAGCTAAATCTGTTCATTTCATTTTGTTGTAGCCTTGGAATTGTACTGTTTGAAATGTAGTCTTTTTTTGATATTTTGAAAGTTTTTAAACCATTTTGAAGACATTTTAAGAACATGTAGACTCACAGACATCAAGAATCTGCATATGGACCTCAACAATGGCTGTCACCATTGTTGAGATTCATGTGCTGATTCTTGATGTTTGAGTGAGTCAAAGACATAAAAAATATTTGAATCAAAAATGGTGTGGTCAGACTGTTTTCTAACAAATTATCTTATAACAAATGTGTCTTACAAAACATACAGTTATAACAGCCAGAGAAAAGCTGATGTTATAAAGTGAAGAGTCAGAAGGTCAGGGTTGTTTACTTAATTAGTTAATTTTACAGTGAAGGTATTTGATTGTATTAATTTAGGAAATGCCTGTAAATTAACAGTGCTGTCAGCTTGTTTAAATAAGGAGATTTTACTGTTGCTGCTAGTCATTTAGATAATTGTATCATTTAATGGTTTTGTTATTGTATTAATTACAGATTATTTTTGTAATTTTACATACATTTGTTTGTAATTTAAGAAAACAGAAAACACTATAAAATAATGTAGTTTTTCTGTATAAAAAATGTGAATTACTTTAATTTGTCATTAATGTCATAATACTTAAAATAACAGCCAAGTATTTAATTCAGAGATAATTGTACAGAGTTTTGACTGCAATTCAAAATAAAAGAAAACAACCTGGAAAAAAATCTGTTATTTTCTGTAAAATTATTATTTATTTTTTTTTACCGTGAAGAACATGTTCCATACTGTCTTCATTCAATTAAATACATGAATCACATCTATTGTCTGACATTAAAGGATGCAAAATCCACGTTCACATGGTGTTTGGACATAAATGTAAAAGAGGATCAGATTTAGGTAAGTTTGTGAACATTATCTCATCTCATCATCTTACAGCTAAATCATTAAAATCAATGAAGCACAAACAATATTATATATATATATATGTATTGCTTTACTTGGTTTTAAAATACAATTGACTTTTTAGTGTGAAGTGATTTTTACCTTTATGTCTAAAAAACATGCGAATAAATGAAATCGTTCTTGTGAACATTCATTGTACGTACTTTTAATATGTTTTTATCTTTATGTGCTTCATTTAAAAAATTCAAAAAAACTACAGACAAAAAAGTATTTTTACACTGCTCAATGTGCACATGCACATTGCTATCACTCACCTAAATTATAGCACAGAGCAGCAATTTGAACACACAGCATTTCTTGTTCAGTAATGAGCTCTTTCTTCTTCTCTTCCTGCTCCTCCTCTTTCTTTTGTAGCTCCTCCTCTGTCTTTTTTAGCTCCTCCTCTTTCTTTTTTAGCTTCTCCGGTTTCTTTTTTAGCTCCTCCTGTTTCTTTTTTAGCTCCTTAAGCTTGTTAATATCCTTCTCTATCTTTTCGATGCACTTATCTTGTTTCTCTCTCAGAACTTTGAGCAGAGATCCTGCTAAATGTGCCATCCTTCACACAGAAAAGACAGCATTTTAAACAAAACAGAATAAATCCTTTTGCATCATTTGACCAATTGACTCACTGCTTCAGAATCTGGTAAGTTAGATTGAGCTTTCGGTAACACCAGAATTATGAGATTATTCTAACCATGTTTAAAACATTTGAATCAACCTGATGACTTATACAATAAAACTAAGTCATTTTGAAGGGTCACTGGTAGAAAGAGCACTGTAACAACTGCAGACGTGTTACCTGACATTAATTACTGTTTTACCATCTGTCTGTGTGTCATTCAACAGCATTACAGTCTGTAGCTCATGAAAATGTTTTTCAAGATGTTAGCATATGTTTAAGTTGCTCATGAAGACATGGTCTCATAATGTTTCATCAACACTTGTCCTAATCCTACAACTACTGCTTTTCAGAAGCATTGCTTGTGAAAATGAATTGCATGGAAGAGTTATGTGTCTTCCCTCTTCATGATCAACAGTTTGATAATGTTTGTTTGCAATGTGTTTTTAGCTTTATGGAGGAAAGGGTCTGCACATTGCATCTGGAACAGCATCCATCTATGATATGAGTGTTTTCACAGATCAAACTACTAATATTTAGGACTCAGTGTCACAGAAAATGACTTATGCTACAAATGCGAAGGCACACTATTAAAATATACACAATCTGTATTGAACAGTATGGCATACACTCTTAAAAATAAAGGTGCTTCAAACGGTTCTTCAAGCGATGCCATAGAAGAACCATTTTTGGTTCCACAAAGAACCATTCAGTCAAAGGTTCTTTAAAGAACCATCTCTTTCTTAACTTTTTATAATCTGAAGAACCTTCTTTCGCCCCAAAGAACCTTTTGTGAAACAGAAAGGTTCTTCAGATGTTAAAGGTTCATTATGGAACCTTTTAGACAAAAAGGTTCTTCTATGGCATCGTGAAGCACCTTTATTTTTAAGAGTGTAGTTACTTCCAGGTAATGTGCAATGTATGCTGACTCCAAAAGCTAAAGGTGAATTAATTCAGAATGATTCACCATACTTGTACAGGAAATAGTATAGTTGGTTCATAATACCTAATTTCACATTGAAAAGATGAGTTGTCAGGGAAAATGTTTAGTTTTACTGCAATTACTGTATTATCGATCATCTGCCACAAAGGAGTCTGATGAGGTCCACACACCAGCAGAGTTTACAATAGCTCTAAAAACTTCTAAGCCTTCATTCATTTGTATACTGCATATACATTAAAACTTTTTTATTTTTTTAACTTTACCCCAGAGAGTGTTCGAAGCGAGTATGAGTGGCTCCAGGATACACCAGATATGCTCCTCCCAGCTGTTTGATGTGTCGGAGTCTCTGAAACTGAGGAGTATCAATGATCTTCACCAGCAGATGAGGCAGCTCAATGTGTCCATGAATGGGGTCGTTGAAGATCTGCAGGTCAGAAAAAAGGCAAATTTTAGTTCATAAAATGCATTGCCCTATATAGAGTTTATTGCCTTAACAGATTTGAACCAAGGCCTACAGCAGAAATATATATAATGATAAAATGTGTATTAATTTTTCATTATAACTGTCAGTTTCTAGTCGAGGACAAACCAGTGTGAGATGAAAAAGGAATTACTCTCACCACCGTAAGCTTTTACAGTGTTTTAAGAGGAGTTTGTGATTTAAAAGGCACACAAAAAATCCTATCATCTACATAGAATTATATTAAATTATATTTTAAGATTTGATATTTTTACTAGTTTCTCCATACAGGAGGCGTCTTGAAGCTATCATTACCAACAAAGGCTTTTGTAAAAAGTACTAAATAAATTTCAGTAGTTCGATACTTTTTAACTGTGTCATTCCATTTTATTACACAACTTATTTTTTGAATTTTTTTGTTTTGTTTTATGTGTATGTATGGATTACTTGGTTTGCTACTGACATCTGGTAAAAGTTTAATGTCAACAGCACCTTTAGAAATATATTTACTGGGAAAAAGGGTGACGGTTCAATAATTATATATACATATATATATATACACACATTGCAGTTACAGCCAGCGGAAAACAAGGCTTTGTCCGGACAGCATTCTTGTAATGCACGGAGAAGAGCAATTTCACAACGTTTTAATATGAAGAGCTGCTCTTTGGTTTTCAACTGCAATAACAAATATTCTCACTCACAGAATCAGACACTAACTGCTGCTTTTTATATAGCATATTTCCCATTATAAATTATGATACCGCTTTGTTCTTTGGTCCGTTGGGTCGAATTGCTTTCTCACCACGAGCGAACTGCTCCAGAGTCCGTTTGCAATCGGGCCGAGACACGTTTGTTTGGTGCGCACCCGAGTACGATTGCTGCATTCACACCTGACCAAACGAACTGCACCAAGAGGGACAACAAACTCTAGTACGATTCAACCGAACTAAATGAGGCAGGTGTGAAAGCACCCTTAAATTGTTTTCAAATGTAACATATAAATCATAAAATTAGTGAATTGAATATACTATAAATTATTTTGCGCTCCCCCCTGGAGGATCATTGAGCCCCCCTAGTGGGGGGTTGAGAACCACTGATTTAGACAATCACTGAAGATTGTTTTCCAGAAAACTGTAATATTTCAAATGACCACTAATGGTGTAGTTGAGTAATTATATGGAAAATATGTAACAAAAGTACTAAACATCCTGAAAAATACACAGCATAAATGTATAGTTGATATGTAAAAAAAAAAAAAAAAACAAGATTTTTTTAAAAATTATTAACAATTTATATTTTTTATGCAATAGCTCTGTAAAAATCTGGGATCCAAATGGAAACCTTTGGGTTACAAGTATGACTCTCTAACCATTAGGCCACGACTGCCCACAGACAGTCATTTGTCACAATCCACAAACATTGTATGAGGTCAAACATGTAAATGCTTTATAAATGCTTAAACTTTCTGCTCTAAAGTGAAAAATGAAATTATATGTGAAAACCATAAATCTTGACTGAAATATGTAATAGCACTAACATCAGCTAAACTTCACTGGTTACACAATAGACAGTTATTTTTTTCGTGCCTTTAATAGTTAGCTTAGTTTCATTTTTATTTGTTACCTTGCTTGAAGAAGTTTTCTCATTCTCCTGCTCTTCTTCGTCTTCATCATCATCATCATCATCATCATCATCTTCTTTGCCTTTGAAAAGGCATATGACAATAGTCACATAATAATAATAATAATAATAATAATAATAATAATAACAATAATAATAATAATCAGTATTATCTGGAAAACTAGAACAATTGTGACAGACAAAAAGTATATTATGATGGAAATGTTATAACCCATCAGAGTGATGGAAAATGATTAATTGTAGCACAATCAGTTTTTGGAGTGAAAGCAGTTCATGCACATGCCGATGTTGAGAACAAAATTGACATGCATTAATTAAATAAATATATATTTAATTTTTTTAATTTTTTCTTCATCCATATTTTTTTCTAGGGTGTTCATGTATCCCCCAATTTTTTGTGTTTGTCAGGGATGTCTGGCCATCACAAAACCCGGAAAACAAACGCTGTAGTCCAAACGAGTCGTTCATTGTAGTTCTTGAAAAGGGATTTTTTTTTTTAATGAAATATCTCCCTTTGGAGTGGACTTTGAGATTTGTAAGTTTGAAGATCTTTTTTTATGCCCAAACATACACACTGACTAAAATTCAAAAAGTGAAAAAGCATAATAGGACCCCTTTAAGATTCACTGGATTTGTGTGTGTGTGTGTTTTAAAGGCAACTGCAATGAAGCATCAAGAAAGACATGAGCAGACCAGCCGCTCTGATAATTCATGGTAAGAGAAGAACTTCACTATGATTCTGAGAGGTTTGTGTATTATATGGGGTTTGCCTTCTAAAAATGTGTAATTTCTTCTTGTTTTTCAGGGAACATATTTCTCTCTGTAACAAAGTGGACGGTGAGCAAAGGTGGCCTACATTTTGGAGCAGCACCTGGGTTTTGCAGATGCCTTATATGTATCCTTTGCTGCTTATATTTTTACAACATAATGCACTGCAAATGCAGATTAAGAGATTCAAATTAAGTGATTAATGACTCTTTATCACATTATACCTGGTTAGAAGTATAAATTACTCTGAATAAAAACATCCGCTAACATATGCAAATAAATGAAAAGCAGAAAGTAAAAATTTATACAGCAGAGCTGATACACTAACATTAATATAGATACACAAATGCAGATATAGCAGCACAATTTCCTAAATGACCTGAATCAGAATTACCGCAATCAATGAATGTGTTCTCTGGATTTTTGCACCACTCATGAAAGCACTTCTCAGCTTTCTGCTGGACCTCCCTCTGATGCTTCTGATCCGCTGGATCATAATAGACCCTAACAAGAAATTCATGAAACTTCTCTGGCTTGAGGCTGGAGACCTGCCGAGACAAGAGAAACCACACACAACCTGTAACCAGCCTTTCTCAAGCCAGGAATCATGCTTTCACTTACCCAGAGATGAACTACACACCACAAAATATGTAAAGCCTGAAGATCTATCTATCTATCTATCTAATCTGTTTTAGTAGCAACTTAATTAAACAGACAATCTAATGCTCAAGAGAATCATAATCCTGAATAATAGTTCAGTATGATAAATGTTTGAGGTAAGTCAGATTTCTTACCTGGTACTTCTTCATCTTGAATGCTGTCTTTAGGTCACTCTTGCTGTAGAAATGAACATTATCAATAGGCTCTTTGCCCACTTCACCAAAACCCATCTCAAGAACCTGAATGAGAAGAGATTTCAGACACGACAGAAACAGACTGTGAAAAGATGAGCGCTACAAAACTCACATTATTATTTTTTTTACTGTTTAAACATACATAAATTTTAAAGTCCGTAGCCTTCAGTTGTTTTTCCGATAGCAGATTCTCCCAGTGATCCTTCAGGAATTTCTATCACAATATATGAAAAGTGAAAAAAATGTAAACAAAAAATCATTCAGAGGGAAAATGTACACTCTGGTTCAAAAGATGGGATCAGTAAGATATTTTTTTAATTAATACTTTTATTCAGCAAGGATGCATTAAACTGATCAAATGTGACAGTAAAAACATTTATAATGTTACAAAAGATTTCTGTTTCAAACAAATGCTGTTCTTTTGAACGTTCTATTCATCTGTGAATCCTGAAAAAATAAATTGTATGTGCTATAACAAGACACACACAAAAAAGTACCTTATAGACTTGAATCTTGAAGGCTCTAACAGGCTGGGCTTTCAAGCTGGCCTTTTGTATTTCCTAAAGGAATTAAGGATCAGCCATATGCAAATACCACATTAAATATGAAATGAGTAAGAAAACAAAATATGAATTTGATAAAACTGCCACATCATGTGTGTGACTATCAAATAAAAAGACACATCTTAATATAAAACATTAAATTAAAATGTATATATATATATATATATATATATAAATTGGTCAGTATAAAGCTTTAGTCAAGAATTTACTTTGTCGAATGGTGCTTTAATAACTTCTCTGCCAAGCAAAAACATTTAAAGGTTTAAGTAAACATAATTTGTTTATTTATCTATGGATAGCAGATAATTGAATAATTGAATAATTGGTAATTGGTAATTGCTTAAGAAATGCATAATACTGAAATTACTATCTTGAAGCATACATTTGAGAAATGTGAGAAATTGATTGACCACCTTTGAAATGGCATTTGTTTCATATAGAATAGTCTCTTCCGAGCAAAATGAGCCCTCCCAGTCTCTCTCCTTCAATCACAGGCGATGTTATAACCCAGAACAGAGAGGGAGTCGCTGACAGGCTTAGCGAGGTGCCAGTCTGCGCTCCGCAATTTTGGGCTGTTTGAAGCCAGCCAATGCCTAGCCAGCAAAGTTTTGATGGATGGAAGTGTTAGCCAACCACAAGCACGCTTACAGTGATTGACAGTTTGCACATTTGACGTAAGATGGCTTGAAGAATACCCATGCGCAAAGTGAGTGTGTGGCTGCTGTGGGGCGAACCAAGGACCAAGAGGTCCGCCGCCGGAACGGGAGAGGGCGGAAGTTTGTCGGATGGCGGCAAACGCAGCGAAATCAATAATGACAAAATATAGAAGTCATCGTAATGGAAATGGACCAGAGACACTAGATAGTATCGATGAAACCGATAAGGAGGATGACCAAATGGAGTCAGGAAGGACAGAAGAAGAAGAGGGTAGTAGAGATAGGAAGGAGGATGTGGGTACAAAGAAAAGAAAGAAAAAACATCAGGAAAGAGAGGTAAGAAGTTCGGAGGAGAGTGGAAATGAACAGGAGATAAGGAATGGAAATCTGGATGAGTTAAAGGTAATTTTGAAATTTAAAGCAGAAGGTGGAATACAAAAGGTAAGTCCAATTGCATTAACTAAAGATTTGAGGAAAGTAGTTGGAGAGATTAAGCATGCAAGAGTGTTACAGAACGGAGATTTGTTGATAGTTTGTAACAATGAAGAACAAAAGAGGAAAGTGATTGGAA